TCCTAATACATGATTTGGCCCAAGGAATCCTCCCCTGTGTCTCCTCCCTTCTCAGAGTGGTCACCATGTCCTGGGCTCTACCTCCCCCATTTCTGTTCCATGGCTGACTCTCCTGGCATGATTCTCTTCCCTCTAGCTGATCATCGTTTCCAACAAATTATGGGTACTAGCTAGGTAAATGGTTACCTTTCCCTCGCACGTGGTCCTTTGTTAAGGCTTGTTAACACAGGTGCTGTTCTGTATGACTCCCAAATAGGAAAAGCAAGTGGGAAATGGGGTAGGGAGGTAGGGATAACCCTCTTATTAAATACTTGTGGACAGTTAGAGTCATAGCACCATCTGTACCCACATGTGTGGCCTCATTTAATTTCCACGACAGTTGTATGGGTGGACATTACTATTATTGCAGTATGCATAAGGAAACTGTCACCCAGGCAGGAGCAGAGAACAGCCCCAGGTCACATAGCCCATAAAAGATAGCACCAAGATGAAAACCAGGCCTTCCTGCCTGTGACTCAGCATTCCCCGTTATGGATTGGTTGGAATCCTAGACAAGGCACTGCACCAAAAGATGCAGTCTTTGCCATCCCTTTTCTGTTCCATTCACACTGGCAGCCTACCTTCAAGGTAGACTCTGACCTCTGACTCCTTGCGCTCTCAATCCTCAGCAGAATCAGAGGCCTCTGAAGGCTTCACCCTTCTCGTACATCTCCTGCAGCCAAGGGTCTCTTGGTTGGCCTGGCTAAGGCCCTGGCTACATAGCTCAGTGTCCACCTTGGACATGTGGCCATCTCCTTCAGCATTCCTTCCTCACATACAAACATGTGCATGCACACACACAGCTGAGCTCAGCTTTCACACTCATGGGCATGATGCATCGTGCAGAGCTTACTAACAACTTTGCCACTGACTGTTGCCCTCAGTCAGTCACAGTAGCTGCACTGTATGCCAGGGAGCATTCTGGGTGCTTCCTGCCCACTATCTAATATGAGGCTCAGAGACAAGGCTGCAGGATCTAGCTAGTCCTGTTCACATCTCACTGCTCAGAGGTAGGCCAGAGAGGAACAGAGGGTGTCTCAAGCTTCACAAAGACCACGTGAAGGAGCTGGGTTGGTTTAACCCCCATCTCCTACCTCCCAGTAAAGGGTTCCTTCCACCAGAGCACACTGCCTACTGACTCAAAATCCATAATTAGAATGTGTTTACACAATGTCCATATTTTCGATATAAATGAATGCCTGTGTGTCTGTATTTGTACAGATTCCTCATACACCAGCTATGATTAATAACATGCTCTTACACAGAAGAGTGAATCGCCTGTTCATCTGGGCTTCCACAGCCCCTAGTGGTTTATCTTGGTGCTGCCATCATTTCCTGACTGGTCAGCTCAGTACTGGGGACCATGAACAGTATAGTCACCAACGTGTATTTGTTGAATGAACAAATATATGTATTAGCTGTGTGTCTGTGAGAGATTGCAGGACTCCAGTTGAAAAATCAAAGTCGAGGCATTTACAGTTTTTGGAACAAAACTCACTCTTCCTCAAATAACTGTTCTCCTTTTGAGAAACAGCTGGTGGCACCGGATTATTAACAAAGTTAAATTACTGATTCTAACAGATTTTGAATATCTAAACATGGGTCTCCTAGTGACCACACAAACTCATAGACCCAGCATTATGACCCACCAAGGCATAAATTTGGGAAGGAAATAACAATATTGTATCACTGAAGGGTAGAGGTATTAACAAAATCAGTGTGAAGCAGGTCCTGCAAGCTTAAGTTACAGGATGTTCACACTCCCGTTTGCACCTACTCCTGCAGCAAAATCAGCTCTCAGCTCACATCTAAGTCTTTGTTCCCAATAACCATCTTACTGAAGAAATGCAGATGACACTGTGATAAGCAGGAACCATTGTAGCTGGAAGTTGGCAGCTATGGTACTACAACTCACCTCAGGCATGATTTTGATGAGAACTATGCAAGAGAAATCCTTCTAGGAGGCAAAACTCAGAGCCATATGCCTGGTTTACCTCTATCTAGAAAGTGACCTGGCCAGGCGCACTGATCAATACTGCTAAACAGTCTGTACAGATGATCAGAAACTGGTAAAACAAGATTGACAGTAATATCAACAAGGCAACAAAATACTAAGTACTTATGTGCAAAGTATAGTCTAAGTGTTTTGCCTACATATGTAGGAGTAAGATCTCTCTGAATGGGCTGGATATAAGAATATGTGTGTCCCATATGAATACTTAGCCAAAAGAACATGATGACCCGGATTGTGGAACCCTGCTCTACGTCTTCCTCCAGACATCCCAGCTATGTTTGATGAGCCAATTAACACTATTCTTATCAGTTACACAAGTTGCTAGTAACCATATATAATTTACACATTACCGTGTCAATAAATTATAATTACCCATGAAATAGCCAAATGTTAATAGCTGTTTAAATTTTAATTTCAAATGTTAATAGCTGTTTTAAAATTTATACCAACTTTTAACTTATTCACCTTACAACAAATTTTAAAACCCTACATCTAAAGCACAAATACACATAATTACTAAATAGATATCGGCATGTATTGTATCTAGTATTCAAATTCCAGGGATAAGCTGTTAGCATGAAAATGTCTAAAAATGCCTTGGGGTGGGAGGTGATAATGAAAAATAGGTGAAGAAACATTCCTAGTCAAGGGAAAGATACAATGTGCAATCCAGGATTATTTGCAACTTAATTGATGAAATGCCCAAAACTGAACATTGTCAGAGCTCATTAAAATAATGGTCTCCAGTGTTGAAGTTAGCAAAAATGTCTACTGGAGTCTGTCCCCATTTCTCCTACTATGCCCTTTTCCTGGCTCTGGTCACTGTAGTTGCCTAGAACCAGACTTGTTCTGATTTCCTGCTCTTCCTACTGAATAAAAGTCAACCCCCTGTTGTATCAGACTCTAGACCTATTAGAAAGGGAAGAAGCCCTGTGGTCTATGGAAGGAAAAGAAGAAGGCAGAGTTCTTCAAGACCATGATTCACCCTTATCTCTATTAAGCAATTTCAACTTAATTTTTATTAGAATTAGTTCCCAAGTTCCTTGCCACCCCAATTCTTCTGCCTTACTACTCCTTGGAATGTGAGGGGTTCCAAGAAATGGTACCAACCCACTAGAGACTACATCCTAGGCTTAAACTCTACCAGATATCTACCTCTTCCTAGTAGTATCTGCTCCTAAAAAGACATGGCCTATGGAATCAAGGGAAGTATTTCAGCTTCTAGTGAAGAATAGCAAAAACAATAGCAAAAGAAAGTCTTGATTCATGTCTGCAAGCAAGGCCCTACCTTGCTCTGGATTAGGCACTTTACTGTTCCCAAAGGAATAAAAGTTGTTTCTTTACTCATAAAGAGTCAAAAATCACAAAGAGTGTACAGTGGAGAAGAGGAAGCCACTATGAGGGCCTCGTTGTCCATAAAGCTCTGTCCCAGTGATTAGGGAGTCTCATGATGTGAGGATTAAATAATGAAGCCTTAAGCAGAAAGACCTCAGGAAATACTCCTCGAAATAGGAAAGGTGAACCTGATTGCCTAAGGGTCCTGTGCCACAGTGGCTGGAAGGTAACAGCTTCCTTCACACACAGTGACTTTCACCTTTGGCTCAGTGTTCCTCTCTACCCCAACTCCTGCCACCACCCTGGGAGATCTCACTATCCACTTGGATAATCCAGTCTCCATCCTGGCCCCTGAGGCCACTGACCTCCCATGCCCAGGATCCATAGACAACTTGAACATTTTCATCACCCAGAGCTCTTTTTAAATACTAGCATCCCACTAACCATCGGAATAGTTTCCCAGCTCACCTGTCCCCTTCTATCAATACCCTTATCAGTATCAGTGCCCTTTCTCAGAGCACTGCCACATATATGGTGGGTACCTGGGGTACTCACTTAACATGTCCTATTCGTAACTTCAGATCCTCTTGCTCACAAACCCCATCACCGTCTGACTATCTACTATACTCTCTTCCTCTACCTCCACAGCCTGCCTGGAACCCATTCATCTCTTCTACTCCATATCTATTATGTGTAAAGTACTGTGAACACAGTAGTGAAAATAAAAATTCATACACTCACTGCCCTTGGTACTGGAGCTTTAGTTCAGACCCAAATTAACAGACTAAAAGCCTAGAAATAGCACTCATCTTTTTTCTATTCTGAGTATCTTGGGGTGAGTCCCCCAAATCATGAGCCCCATCCTCTATTGGAGCCCCTCCAAAGCCTAATATTGCCCTATACTTTTCATTCTAAGTCTCCCGTATTTCCCAATCTAAGTCTCTTCCCCCAGATCTTCCCATCCCACCTCCTCAGGAACTGGATTGCTGAGGCATTCTCCAGCTCCTCCCTCTCACTGGCTTCTGCCTGCTCAAATCTCTCTTCTTTTCCATGAAAATCCTAGATTGTTCTGTCTTCCTTAGCTACCTACCATTCTATGCATACAATAGCTATAGGCCAGAGGTGTGGGGGGGGGGGTGAGAAGATTCACCAGAGACAGAGTGGGGAGAATAGGCAGATCTACTGAAATATACTGTGTAGGGGAGTAACAGGCCAGAGAGGAGCGGTCTGCTGCACCACGTGGGTCACCTCCAGGATCAAACTGGAGCTACGGGTGGCTACAGATTGCTTCATAAAGCTGACACAACCCCCGCACAACCAGCAAGCCCCCTCTCATTGAGTTTGTTAGAAGAAGAGTCTATACTTGATGCCCAGTCTTTGCTCCAGGTTTGCCCACCTCAGGGTTTATTTTCAACATGTGTCCTCTGTGCCTGCATTCCACTGAAATGCTACTTGCCTGCTGCAATACCTGAGAGTCATGCTAATATCACTCCCATGAATCCAACAAATTCACCCCAAACTAAGCAGACCGGGGTGGAAACTATCCCAAGTCATTTTTAAAGGCGATAAAAAATGCTTGACAGGCCATGAAAAAAATAAACGAACAATAAACTCAGAAATGGAAAGTAGGTTTAATGTTGAGTGTCAACTTCAAATGATTGATTGTGGCTGCCTGGAGTGCTGTGTTGAGTAGGTTTCTGAGGATGCACCCTGGCTCAAAGAGAAAGACTGCTGAGATTAGCAGTATCTGTAAAAACAAGTGAAAGAAAATCAGGATGTCAAAATCCACTAAATAGGAAGGAATAAATGCCGAAAACTGTTTTTTCATGTGGGCCTCTAACTCTAGCCCTACTACAAAAAAGCCATGGGCCCTGGCTGCCCCCATCAAATCTAAGTAGATACCTGAAATCTCACTTATAGGAGAAACCAGAGGCACCAGAGGGGCCACTGGTGCTGGCATTAGCTCCACCGAGGCCAGCGAAGAGCCCAAATGTAAGAGTGGCAGTGAGGCTGGTGCTCGTACTGAAGGTGGAGCTGGAGGTGGAGCTGGCACCGGCGCTGGCACTGGCACCACTGGCACTGGCACTGGCTCCTCCACTCTCTTGGGCTTTGGCTTTTGCTTCAGCTCCCATCTGGATCCTGGCTTTGGCCCAGGGTCCAATATCAGCCTCATCCCAGTTGCAGGGCCCAGCAGCATTCTCAGAGCCGAGCCCAATGCCCATACGAGCTCTGATCTCAGCCCTCATCTTGGCTTCAGCTGCTGCCTCTGCTGCAGCCTTCAAATCTGCTTCCATCGCCTCTCGGTATTGAGCTGCCCATTCTTTGGGGTCCTTCTTTTGTACCTGAAATAGAAATAGCCACCATCAGAAAGACCAGAATCCTAGCGCATGGAAGACACCATGCTACTTGTTACATGCAATAACAACAATACGATAAATACTACTAGTAATTATATATTTAATGTTCCTAAGCTGGCACAAGTTCTGTGACCTTGGACATGTCACCTAACAACCTTTCTGAGCCTGAATTTTCTCATCTGCATTAAGGCAATGAAATTCAAATGAAGTGTTTGGTACATCACCAGAGGCTTCAGAATGTTCATGCATGAGCTGCAGGCTGCTAAGCATACTCCTTGTCCCACCCAGGGGCAGCCCATGTTCTCAATCTGCCAAACTGGGCAGCTCTCCAATTACCTTGCAGGCAAACTTGAGGACTTTCATCTTGCTGGTCTCATAGTAGGAGCGCAGGCCCCAGAAGAACTCATACTCGGGGGGATTACTATTAGGGACTCTGGCATAGTCCAGGTACCTTGAAAAGAGAAGTTCAAAATCTTTACATCTAAGGCCAACTATGGCCCATCCATGGGGAATGGACAGGATCTAGGTGGTAATCGCCTCCCGACTAATTACTGCAGCTTTTCTCCCAAGAGTCCTGTCCCCTGGGTCCTGCCACAAAGCCACATGGAGGGATGTGTGTGGGAGAGGAACACACACATAGGGCGTTTGTTTCTTAGAAGACCAGTGTTCTGCCCGCTGTCATTGAACCCAGAGTCCTGTAGGGTGTGCTATAAGAGTCATGTTTTCGGAACCCCTACTCTGAGCACACCTCACCAGAGGCTCATCTAAAGCTTGATGGAGCTCTGGGACAGTCCACCTTAAAAATGACTGTCAGGGGAAGAAAAAGTTAATCATGAAGAGTGTAAAAAGTTAACCAAGTACATTCCATGCATATCCTTAGTCTTTGTGCGTGTGCCAGAACTCACGCAAGTGTACGTGCCAACGCACCTGTGTGACTGGCAGCACACATGCTATGCAAGGGCCAAGGAAAGGTGGCCCTGGCCAGAAAGTCAAAAGGGTTGGCGCCTGGCCTGAACGGGACTCTTACAGCTAAACCATGCTCAGACCTCAAGTGAGTCCCAGTCCCGCAAATATAAATGGGAATGGAGTGGCACCACTTCCTCTTGCAGTACAGTTCTAAAAATGTAATGAGATGTTCAAGTCCAGTTCCCAGCACAGCTGCACAAAGCTACTATTTTATGGCATTTCTTTATGGAAGTCCTGACTAGTATAGTAAAATCAACCAAGGTACTAGAGCCCTGAGCTAAACCCAACTCTTTAATTTGCTGGTTGTGTAACACTAAGCAAATGACTTCAACTCTCTTTTGCCTCAGTCTCCTCACATTACAATGCTGGTGATGATAATCCTTCCTTTATATAATTATTCTGAAGGAATGTGTGATAGTACAGGTAACAGATCAGGAAATATGTTGCTACTACCTGTCACTAACTCAGGAACAAACTACCACCAGCAAACACATGCCCACGCACATGCCATATATAACTTAACACTAAGTTGTGACACAGGAAAATGCATGTAACACGCAAATACCAGACAGACACTTACTTTTGCTTCACAAACTCATCAGTAATGAGCTTCTTCACATCCCCAAATAGTGAGTGATGTATCCTGAGAGCAGAGAAAGAAAAATACATACATACATGCATACATATAAACATACATATAATCAGGGTTGTGGCACCTCCCAGATAAGCACAGAGGTATTTCCAACATAGAAAAGAGGGTTCCAGCAGAAGAGGGAAGCTCCGCAGAATCCCAAGAGACCAGTGATCAGAGTGCTCAGGACCATTTCCCCATCCATCCCAATCAGAACCCTGGACCCACCCAATCCCAGCCCTGTACTCCTCTCAACCCGCCTGCTCCACCAGACCACCAGGTTGCTGCAATCCTGTGACCGTCCTCTCATGCCAAAGGACAACGTGGACAGCAAGTGCTGAGACCCCAATCATACCCAGGGCGCAGTCCCAACTTGCGTAGCACCTCCCAAATGACAGCTGGAAAGAGTGGCAAGAAAGGGGATAGAAACAAAAAATGAAGGTGCAGAATTTTTACCGGAGCCACTCATTAAACTGCATATCCAACCACTCACCCTCGCTTGACCGATTTCCATTCATAAAGATGATGCTGAGAAGCACCATGAGGAGCCCCAGCTTTGGTGAGTCCTTTGTCCTAGGGGAATAATAAAGCAGGGAAATTTATGTCCAGCAGCAATATGCAAATAACACGTCACCCAGCAAGGGACCCTGGGCAAGGGATGCTGATTCTCAGTGAGCTATGTAGAAAAATGGAAAATCACACCCCATCGCTCTGAGTCCCTCCTTTCTATCCCAGACTCCTCAGTCTCAAGAGAATGCTGGGTATAGCCCCACTGATGTTCCTGCCCTTCAAGCATCGTGATCTACCCACACCAGGAATCCCTCCTTTGAGAACCACTTTACTAAAGCCATACTAGGCATTCAGTAGGAAGAGAGAAGCCACAGGTCTGCTTCTTTCTAGAAGCAGAGAACCTGACAAAAAAAAACGTCTTGCCCAGGCCTCTATAACATCCAGTCAACCAAATCAGGTACCACTATTGTGTCAGGGTGCCAAGTATGTGCCAGGAGTTGAAACAGGGTCTTTTTCAGTCCTGTTTTTCCTGATCCTTTAAGTGAACATGGGGAGAGAAGATAGGAACAGGGTAGCAGCACAGACAAAAAGGGCTCCCAGCCCAGCCCTCGTCTAGCTTACGTTCCCAGTATGCCTGCATCAGTGGGCTCTAGGGTGCTGAGAAGAATGTACAAGTGGTCATTCTTATCAATTTCCTTCAGCTGAATCCCAAATACCTGTAGATGGGAAGAACACATTGTGAGCTCACAAAATTCAGTTTCCCAGGTACCCCACAGCTCCTGATGTACCTAGGGTGTGCCTTTGTGGTATGTAGCAAACTGGCGAGATAATGCACATGAAGCACTAAATGGCTAGCACACTGCAAACAGGCAACACATGTACCGATACTGCATAATCTTTGTGATGAATGGGAATCTACAAAGACAATCTCTAATGGCAAATGGGAGAGAGGTGAGCATCTGAAATACATTACCGGACATGCTGAGCATGTCCTGTACTTAGAAGCCAGTAGTGAGCTGGGTGACTTACGTGCTAGCTGCTCTTTTACCGCTCACTGTGCGACACCTGGCTAGTCTACATTCCTCCCTAGACCACTTTCTGCCCATTTGTAGTGATGGCTCCTGATCAGTATTTTTGGTTCCTCCCTCCCAGAAAGGGAATATACACTTTAATTGGATTCATTGCTTTCCCACTGTGCCCATCCCCCAGGGCTGCCCCTTCACCTTCTCCAAGGAATAGCCTGCTCGTTCAATGATTTCAGGGTACACATCAGTGTATTCTTTGATGATGTCCTTCAGCATGTCTGCAAGGGGAAAGTGTTGGAAGCACCTGGGCTGAAATGAAGCCAAGTGGCCCCCATATCCAAGATATATAGCTCTTTTGCCCAACCTACTGTGAGTAGCATAAACAGGTTCTGAGATAATGAAGAGACATGAGCACTGCCAAAGAATTTGAACAGGATAGAGGTGGGCGAATAGGAGCAAGGAATGCCCCCCAGTGCATGGGGAAGAGAATGGTGGAGGGCATCGCTAGGGAGAGACAGTTAGTAGGACTCTACCTGAGCGTTTGATGGGAATCTTTGTTTGGTCTTTAACCAACAGGTACTTCACCAAATCGTTTGCCTAAGAGAATACAAAAAAAAAAATGGAAAGAACAAAATACATTTATAGAAGACCTGAGAAGATGGTAAAGAAGAAGGCAGGCAATGCAATGGAAAGGCAGAATGCAGAGAGCACAGATCTTACCCTCCCTTGCAAAAGTGCCACATCCCGAGTTGGTAGTATTTCAGTCTCTTGGGATGACTGGAGCTTGGCGGCTCTGCGGCGAGCCTTGCCCCTACGGGCTTTAGGTGACCTCAGGGAGAGCAAAGCCCTACGAGCCCAAGCTGCCAGCCGAGTCCTTGATGCCCTGCGGGCCCAAAAGGCTATGGGGCCCCTTGAAGCCCTGCGGGCCATTGAGGCCATTAGGGCCTTTGAGACCCTTCGGCCACCTGTGGTTCCAGAAGCCTGACTCTGATCACTGCTGCCATCTTCATCCCCATTCAGATGTTTAACCTGTATCAACAAAGAAAAAGTGCATCTCCAGATGAAGCAGATGGTCCTCCTTCCTTATCCTATTTCTTGCAGACAGCCCTCACTAACCTCACGCCTATATTAATAGCCTGGCTCACTAGAAATTGGCTATGCTGAGTCATGGGTTTGTCTTTCACTGGCTTCTGAACAGGAGTTCTATCTCCCCATCAGGCCAGAAGCAATCCAAGAGTGAAGCCTGAAGCCTGATGCTTCTCTTCCTATGTCCATCACTGGCCCTACCTGTACCATCCTAAAAATGCCACTCCACCTTTTTGGAAGTCAGCTTCCTTCTCTGTAAAACCGGGTCACTTTCAGGACTTAATAAGATAACCTGCATGAATGTGCCTAGCTCAAGTTCTAGCACATGATAGCCACTATGTAAATATTAATCACATTACATTCAGATTAGTTATACATACTTCTGTCTCATGTGCCTATCAATTTATGTCCCCCCACAGCCTTGATGGACATAGTTAATTTTCTAAATGTTTGCAGAACAAATGAATCAACTGAAATAAGACTGGAAAGGCAAGAGTGGTGATTGCAAGATCTTACCTTTCGGGCTTTCTTAGCCTTGACCTTGGGCTGAGTATCCTGATGTGCCTGGGCAACAGCTCGCTCAGGCTCAGACTGGTCTGCTGAAGCCTGAGAAGCAGCAGCCTCAGTGTCTGGAACCTTTGTATTGACCTTCGTATCAGACACACAGCTGACCTTTTTGATCTCGGTGGCGGGCACTGTCAGAGCCTTTGGGTCAGCATTTTGCATCTTGGGATGAGCTGCTGCACTCTTCTTCTCAGCTGCCAGAACCTGGGTATCAATCAGCTTAGTGGCAGGTGATGTCTGAGTGTCAGCTGCCTCCTGAGCCTCTGGGGCCTTTGAGACCTCTGTGGCATTTGAGTTCCCTGTGGTGTTTGAAACCTTGATGGCCTCTGAGACCTCTGACGTCTTTGAGGCCTTTGGTGTCTTTGAAACCTCCAAGTTCTGGGTCACTGTCAACTGGGTCTGCATCTTCAAGCCATTGACCTTTTCGGAAGTTTCAGTCTGCAAGAGAAAGTAGAGAAGCGCATAGGCCTTTTCCCCAACCCCAACTATGCAAAAGAATCCAAAATTCCAGGGTGTTGCTTCTCTGTTCTATAGTACCTTGTAAGTGTAGTGTGTTCTGACTACCTCACTGCATAGGCTACCCTTCCTCTGAGCAGTAACTGATTGCTAAAGAGGGATCAACCAGCTCTTCCATCCTTCCTTCCTCCCTCTACTGGGGTGGGGGTGGGACCAAGCAGGGCAATGGGTAGAAAAGAACAAAAGTGGAGGGGAGATGCCAAGGGGCATTTGGGGCAGCAACAGGAGCTGGAGAAGAAAAGTAGTCAGGGAGAGAAGGCCTTACCTGGAAGTCGGCTGAACCTGAACCACTCTCATTCGTGTCAGACATGTCTCAAGTTGGCCTGGCAAGGGCTGAGCCTGAAGAAGTGAAGGCCTAGGTCAGGGGGAGAGTCCAATAAAAGCCCACTATTCTGTCCTGCCCGGCACTTAAATTAGGCCCAAGTCCCAAAAACCTACCCCACCCCCAACGACTTGGTTCTCAGATTCAGTAATCCAGAGCATCTATGTCTCAATTCTCTGCAGCCGCACCCTCCCCTTCTCCAGGAAGATGTGCCAGCGCGGCAGCTCTGAGGTACCCGCCCCTTTTCCCAGAGCACCCCCTCCAAACCCCAGCCGCAGGTTTAAAGTGCGCGTGCGCATCCCATGCAGGGCCCACCTACGCCCCGCCCACTTTCTGAACACAAACGCTTTCTTTAATGTACATCGTGCACATGCGCATTCCGCAGTTGGTCCATTACACGCCCCTTTCTAGCAATCCATAGTGCGCGTGCGCAATAGCAATGGCCTCAGCCCAGCACCCTTTCCCATCACACGCCCCTCTCCGGGTCCGCGCTATCATTCGGTCCCGCCCTCTACTCAACAAGCCTTTCTCTTAAACTGTCGCAGTGTCTGGTGGTCCCGGCCCCTCCCCTACTCACACCCACCTCACCAAATCCAACGTCCCGCCGGGTCCCGCCCTTTTTTTAATAACAACCCCCACGGTCCCAAACAGGAGCAAAGTGCATCACAGTTCCACTCCTTCCCAATACACCCCCCTCCTCAAATCTGTATTGAGCTTGTGATTCCATCTTGGGCCCAACAAATCCCGGTCCCAGTCCCCACCCTTCCTAGCCGGATGGATCCGGTACGATCCGGTCCTCAAGACAGTTTTTCTCTAGATCTTAGAGGGTGGGGCCGTCTTCTACTGGGCTCTCCTCTAGCGCTAGCTCCAGCTACTCACCTCGTCCTCCTACAGTTACCACTTATGTCCACTCTCTTCAAGCCCCTTCGAAAATCGGAGACTGCCCTCCCCCCTCTAGGCCGGAAGTGGTCCCGCCCCTTTCCGCCTCCCTAGGGGGCCTCGGTCCCAGCCAGTCTGCCCTTCCCCCACTCCCTGTTCATTCCTCATCCCCCCCCTTATTCTCTGCGTTACTCCCCACTCCCTATTCCCCCGTGGCATTTCTTATTTACTCCACAGAATTCCCTGTTCCCATTCTTTACATCCTCATCTATGTTACCTACACACTTCCTTCCCCCAGTATTCCTTAACCCTTCTCTGCAAACCCCTATTTTCTTCTCTAGGTTTCCACTTCCCCCAGTATTCCTTTTCCCCCTTCAAATTCCCTTCCCCCACCCCACATACCCGGTTCTCAGTTTATCTCACCCTTCCTTCTACTAGTCTCTGTTCCCCAGTCCATACAGCTTACTACTCTCAGTGTCCTTCTTGCCTACATCCCACACTGGGTGACCTCTCCCCCATCTGTAGTGGTGCAGTTAGGAATTGCCCACCTGCCAGGTTCCAGGGACTGAAACCTCTGTCTGGCTGTCAGGAAACCTCAGTCTCAAAGACCCTCACCTAGTCTTCAAGCGAGTTCGGGATGTAATTGCGTTCTCTCAGTCCCTCTCGAAGTCTCAGCCTTCTGGACTCGATCTACAGCCAACCCAGCCCAGCCCCTTTCCGCAGCCCCCTGCTACCCCCCCTCCTTCTTCGGAGGTGGGGCTATGGGGCCCTGCTCAGGGCTGTCTGACGCCAAAGACCGTGTTTATGCCACTGTACCAGGCTTGGTCTGAAGCCCTTCCAACTAAAACCACCCCTACAAAGCAGTTCATTCATTGAATTTATTGACTTTTTTATCTTTTTTTTATCACAAAGGTAATGTGTTGTCCTTGTGAAAATTCAAATAATGCAAAAAATATGTAACATACCAATGAGAGGCCACCCTTATCTCATTCTCCAGAAATAACCAGTGTTAATATTTTGATATACATCCCTCCAGACTTATTCACATACTAATTATTTGGGTTTTCTCCACACAAATGGTATACTAAACCTATTGTTCTGTGATTCCCCCCCCTCAGTTATATATGTGAAACATTTTTTAACGTAGTGCACATTTTCCTTAAACTTTTCTTGCATAGATGCCTCATAATTTCTTGAACCAGTCCAGTCCAGGACATTTAGACTTTTCCCATTGTTTTTGTTATTACAAACAATGCTACAAGGAACATTCCTGCATCTACATTGGGCTTTTCTTTGCAGATATTTGTGGGGTGGGTTTTTTTTTTGTTTGTTTGTTTTTTGCAGTCTCAAATACTACAAAGTTCCATTTTGCACAAAATTTGTCATCTTACTCTTAAAGGTACATGGAGTAACAGTCCCACCAGTAATGACTTTCAAAATGTTATGTGCTGCATATATTAGAAGTATTTTCATGTTATTTATGATAACTTTTTCTATGAAAGTGTTTAACTTTTATGTAGTGCAATGTATCATTTTCCTTTATCACAACTGGATCCTGCTTCATCCTTAGAGATTCTTTCCAAACCCTGTAACAATTTGTGTTTTTTTCTCCCCCAAGCACTTTCATGGCTTTATTATTTACATTTAAATGATTCATGATTCCAAATTTTTAATGTAAGAATTCAGCTTAATTATTTTCCAAAATCATAGTCTTGTTCCTAAATCATGTGCAAAATAATCCATAATTACCGCACTGATTTAAAATGCCACTCTTAACAATAAGACATGGGGTCTGCCACCTCCTAGTCCCTTTTTTTGAGATTTATTTATTTATGCATACAAGTACTGGGATACAGGCCAGAGGTATGGGGGGGTGGTGAGAGGATTCACCAGAGACAGAGGGGAGCAGGACAAGCAGATCTATTGAAATACACTGCTGAGGGGAGCAGCAGGTGCCATGTGGATCATCTCCTTGGCCAGGGATTGAACTTGTGATACAGAGGCTGCAGATTGCTTCATAGTGTTGTGCTTTAACCCTTGCTTCACCAAGGAGGACCCTCCCAGGCCCTCCCAGTCCTTCCCAGTCCCTTTCAAAATCTCAGCCTTCTGGTCATGATCAGCCTTTGGACCCAACTCAGGCCCTAAATAGCTGGGTCTATTCAAGAGAACTAAATAGGATGTATAAATAATGGGTCATTAATTTTGGAATGTTTAAATGCAGACTTGGAAAACCTAAGATCATCAACTAAAACATTATTAGAAATATAATGAAATTCAGCACAGTGATTAGTTACAGAAATAATGTTCAGTACCTTACATACAAAAGTAAAATAAATGGCCACAGTCTGCTTTATGAAGTCTCCTTTCCCTTAGTAAGCAAATACCATGAATCCCTATGTTTTATAGATAATTCAGAACACACACACACACTGTCTATCTCCAGAGTGTCAAGATGGACTTCTGTTATCCTGAATCCTCTTTCTCTGAACTGTTGCTTTAGTGGTGAGATATCCGTTCACTACTTTCTTGCCTGCTCAATTCTCTCCCTCTTCCATGGGACCCAGTTTCACTCTAGACCCAACACTTCCATTTCTTTCAGCTGTAGTCTAGTGCTCCAAACTTCCATGCCTTTCAAATCATAGCAAGCCTTGACTGCCGATATATGAATTTTGGTATTGATACAAAGAGCACTGGCAAATTATATATAACATATATAATTATATATAACTGGCTTATGTATAACACAGATTTTGTTTTAGAAAGGACACCCTAACTGCCTAATCCATTAGGAGCATTGTCATCCAAGTAAGCAGTGAACATAGTTTGGTCTATAGTGATAGCAGTGGAGGTTGGGAGAAGTGATTGGTTTCAGAAGACTATGAATAAGTGGATATATGGGAAAAGGTGCACCGATTAGGGGAGTGTCAGAAGGAAATTTTGGATATCTGATCTGAAATATGTAGATAATAACATCTTTCACTTAGATATGAAATACTAAAGGAGGGGAACTGACCATTAATTTAAAGGTACTTAAAGGGCCTCCAACTGGAAATGTTCCACAGACAATTGAAAACACATGTCTAAAGTTCAAGAACGTGGTCTGGACTGAGGCTTTTAAATCTAAGAGTCATCAATATATAAATGGCTTTTTAATTCTTTTTTTTAAGATTCATTTATTTATGCATACAAGAACTTGGGTACAGGCCAGAGGTCAGAGGGTGGGGAGAGGCTTCACCAGAGACAGAGTGGGGAGCAGAACAGGCAGATCCACTGAAATACACTGCTGAAGGGAGCAGCACACCAGATAGGAGAGGTCTGCTGTGCCATTGATCCTCCCTGATGGGGGATTGAACTCATGCTTCAGTGGCTGCGGACAGCTTCATAGTGCTGCACTTTAACCTGTTGTGCCACCAGGGAGGGCCTGGTTCTTTAGTTCTTGGGCAAGAGAAAGACCAGCTAGAAGAATGTGCAGCCTTAGAAGAGATGGGAACTAGGGAAGAACTCTGGAGACCAACAAGCATCTGCACCGTAGGTGGAAGGAAAGGAGCTCAGGAGAAAGATGAATAAAGTAGTGACAAAGGAGATAGGGAGAGACACAGGAGAAAGTGGTACCCCAAAACCAAGTGAAGAGAATTTTGCAAAAGAATGGAGAAGTCAATGCTGTTGAATACTATCACAAGGTCAAGAAAGGGCCTAAAATATTATCTAGGAGTTTTAACAATCAGGTAGTGGTCTGCTCTCTGTTGACCTCAAAGGAGATATTTGTGGCATTAGTTGCCCTGATATTCATTCTTCTCTGCTTCCATAATGATACAGCATCTGATTTTTAGCTGGATACATAGTGTCCTGGGATAAAGGAGGGTCACAACCTAAGATAGTGGCCCTGAATAGTTAGTTTTCCATCTCTTTTTTTAGTATTTGTCTGAACACTATATTCCAAACAAACATGTTACCATTACCACATGTACTCTGACTTCTCTTGCTTAGAAGTCTTGACATACGTGGCTTCTTTCTTATAGACTACCCTCTGTTACAACTACCCTTTGTGACAAACTCCACCATCTTAAAATCCACAGTATCATAAGTGCAGGTTGTGACCTTCAGGATTTTGGAGTAACTTTAAAGAAATACAGAATCAGAACTGTAGGAGATATTATTGGATGTAAAAGTCACAGGCAAATTTGAATCCAAAACCATCAGAGAGGTATTCCCAAAGATTTTCAAAACCAGACTTACCCAATTTCCTCTCAATGTCACCACTTTTATAACACAATATCAAAACCACATTTATGACCTGGGGATTATAGGACAGGACAGAAGACAAATTTATTGACAGGCTT